CGTCTCATCACTGAGCTGGGGGAAGTGGGGTCGACCATCCTCAACAAGGATCCCCAGTTGCACACAAATGATTTCTTTCTCAGTCCCCACCCTAGGCTCTTGGGAACACTAGAGCCCAGGCAGTCATGATTGCAATGTCTTTAACCTCACTGGTTTATGTAGAGGTGGACATTTTGCCTTTTCACACCCTCTGCCTTGCAGAGAGCACTTGAATCCACTGCTCACATTTCCAAAGCCAGTGTGTCCCAACCAGGATGCAGATTCCTCCCCAGCGCTGTGCAGTCTTTGCTCTGTTGGCAGCCTGCAGACAGGTAGCTGGAGCACAGCCAGATGAACACATATGGCATGCCCCTACCACAATGCCACCAGCCGTTCACACCTCCTGAGGTAGATAGTCTGCCGTTTCCCTTCCTCCAAGGCAATGATTTCACCAGAGGCCTCCAGCTCCTGCCTCTCTCCAGGTCCTACTGAGATCACAGCCAGCTGTGGGTGGGATGCTGCATCCCTCTCTCACCCTGATGCAATGGGCTCACTTACAATCTCCACAGAAAAGAGGGATCTGGACCAGACTACAGTTGACATTTTCCAATGCATCTGGGTACTCCAAGTGCCCAAATCAGGTGAGCCCCTTCATCGCCATCTTGGGATACCAGGATCTGGTGTTCAGAGGTTCTTCTGAGTTCCCACTACTTCCCTCAAAATAAACCCTGTCGTGGTTCTGGGTAAGTGGTTTGTTCCTATCACCTTTTTCCTGATTTTCCCCCTTAAAAAGGCCCCTTCCCTCCTTCTCCTTTCTTTCTGCTGTGCTCGCTCCTGCCCTTGATGGTGGTGGTTCACTGCAAACTCACCGTAGTCCCATGTATCCCATTGCTTGCGCCTTTGATGCCTCTCAAGCCTCCCTCCATGGGCAATCTGCTACACCTGTTCTGGGGGCTACAGTGTCCCAGGCTCCCAGCCTTGAACTGGCACTGACAGCAGATATCGAGCCCCATGACCCAGTGCATTAGATGAGGCAACTACAAATGACAAAGGCCCTGCTTTGCTGCACTCTTCTTCACTGCTCCTGCTACCCCCACATCTGCCCCTGCCCTTGGCCCCCAGAGCACATCAGTGACGCTCACCAGAGTTGCACCACCATTTCCATCACTCCAGATTTGGCCCAGAGCAAAGCTGGTTAAAGATGACAGGCTGCCAGCCCATCCCTTGTAATTTCCTGCCTCTGGTTGGCTTGATCTTTATTAAACCTCCCAGGGGCTTGTTGACTCGGAATTTCCTTGTCTGAGACGGACTCCCCCTCGGCTGTTCTGGGTAAGCACATGAAGTGCATTTGAGGCCACTTGTGCTTTGTTTACATGCAGGTAGGATCTACACCAGCTCCAGATACGTCAGAGAGCAGGAGATTACTGGATGCAGGCCAGGCTCTGTGCTCCTGTCAGTCCAATAAGAGGAGACCTCATACGTGGCTGCAAAAATTGCACCAGACTGAAGGAGCTGCTCTGTGATCCTCCTTGCTGCCCCCAAGATGGACAGTGGCCAACACAGAACAGTGCACAAAGCTGGACTCCTCTGGTGCTGTTTGCACCTGGAGGATTTCACCTTTACCTTGTGACGGACAGTCTGCAAGCACCTTCTGCTCCCTGTGCCTGCACCCGGCCTGTATGCTCCACAACACGGTACACCCTGTGACTCTGGCAGCCTCCTCAATGTGCTGCTGGCAAACCTGCTGGCCTGGACCCAGGCCAAGTCAACACAGCAGTGCGCTCTCTCTGGGTCACTGCAATGCATTGGATAATCACACCGTCAGCCAGCAGTAGGGGTTTTACACCATTCCTGGAGGGATCCAGACTCAGGCTAGCCCTGGAGGGAGGATATTAAGGTGGTAGGGTCCTTGTTCACATCAGACGTAGCAGAGCCTTTCTTTTGCAACCACAAATGTCTTTCTCTGAAAAGCGGATTGCGATTGGGTTATATAAGCCCGAAACAACGAGTTAATGTGAGAGCAAATAGCCTCCCCAGCTGTGACTGAAGAATGAGCTGGAACCAGCTGTTACAAAAGGCTGCAGGCAGGCAGCAGCAGGTGGGGAGGATACCAGAAGTGCCGCAGCTGCAGGCTGGGAGGAGGACTGAGGCCAGAGATGCCATCACATAGCAATTGCCAGGGATTATTACAGTGGTTCTCAATTTTGTTGGACTCAAGGCAACCTTCGTTAGACTCAAAGCGCCCCTTGGAAAATGCCAGCTCTTAGTTTTCACTCGGTTTTTGACTACGGAAAAATAATCGTCCAATTTTGGGGAGTTAACACATCAAAATGATTTTAACACAATGGATTCCCATTTGAAATCTCTAGGTATATCTTGTGGATCTTATCTTGTGGATTCATGGTTGGGTCTGCAATCATCCTGTATCTCTTGGGGACATGCCGCTGTGGAGATTGGGAAGTCTCTCCAGGAGTGTCTGCACTGCTTATGCAATGCTCTGGAGAGCACAACCTAATAGTGTTAACATTGCATGGCACCTTGCAGCACCATTGAAAGGATCTCAAGGTACCCCATGGTGTTGCCGCACCCTGGCTGAGGATCACTGGATTATAAGAACAGCCCTTAGCTGGCCATGGCAGAGCCCCGGAGTCAGAAGCCGGGGGAAAGAGCAGGCCTGGGTTCTCCTTCCCCTTTCTGTCGCCTTTCAGCAACAGCCCTGAAACTATGGGCCAAGAGACATGCCATAGACATTGACTGTGGCATCTAGCAAGGATCAACCCCAGGGATGCAAGAATCAACCCCAGGGATGCTGTCTCAGGGTGCCCTGACATGGTTCCCTTGCTGGACCTCAGCAGAAGAAGGACAAATGCCAAGGCTGCCCCTGCATTGCAGGAGATGAATGACCTAACCCTGTTTCTTTTTAGGACTAGGTCACAAAATGCTTAGACGCAGGAGTTAAGGTAGATGTCATCGACTTGGATTTTAAAAAGGCCTTTGATACAGTATTGCATCACATTCTTATAAACAAATTAGGCAACTGTGGCATTTGCCACCCATGATCAGGTGGGTGGAGAATTGGCTTATGAGGCGCATGCAGGGGTGTATGGATGGGTCGTTTTTGACCTGAAAAAATGTGGGCACTGGAGTTCCCCAGGGGTTTGGTCCTTTAACCAGTGCTGTTCAGTATCTTCAGCAGTGACTTGGATGAAGGCACGGAAAGCTCACTGTCTAAATTTGCAGATGACACTAAATTATGGGGCAAAGTAAACGGATTCAGGTGGATTCAGACAGGTTGGAAAAGTGGGCAGAACAGAACAGGATGCAGTTTAACAAAGATAAGTGCAAAGTGTTACATCTAGGGAGGAGGAATCACCAACACACTTACAGGCTGAGAGGTGACTTTGTAAGCAGCAGAGCAGCAGAAAGGGATCTTGTAGTCATAGTTGACTCCAAAATGAACATGAGTCGTCAATGTGATGAAGCAATAAGCAAAACCAACCGCACTTCATCATGCATTAGCAGGTGCATCACAAGCAGGTCCAGGGAGGTGATGCTCCCCCTCTATGAGGCACTGGTCAGGCTGCAGCTGAAGTTCTGTGTCCAGTTCTGGGCATCACACTTCAAGAGGGATGTGGATAACTTTGAGAGGGTCCAGAGGAGGGCCACTCGCATGGTTATGGGCCTACAGGTAAGATCCTACAAGGAGAGATCGAGGGACCTGAATCTCTTCAGCTTCCACAAAAAAAGGCTGAGAGTGGATCTTGTAGCCATCTACAAATTCATCAGGGGGGCAGCAAGGAATAGGGGACACTCTGTTTACCAGGGCACCCCTTGCGGTTACTAGGAACAATGGCCATAAACTGATGGAAAACAGATTTAGGTTGGACATTTGGACAAATTTCTTTACTGTGAGGGTTACCAAAATCTGGACTGGGCTTCCAAGGGAGGTGGTGCTCTCCCCTACCTTGGAGGTCTTCAAGAGGAGACTGGACAAGCACCTGGCTGGGATCATCTGACTCCAGCACTCTTTCCTGCCCAGGGCAGGGGGTTGGACTCGATGATCTACTGAGGTCCCTTCCGACCCTAACAACTATGAAATCTAGGACCTGCAGCCCTTCACTGTGTGTCATTCAGGATCTAACCAAGTGTCCAGCATAAGGCCAGACAGGAGTGTCTGCCCAAATGCACCCTGGCATGGCACCTGCCTTCTCCTTCCTCCAAGCAAAGAAGTTATCTGTTAGGACCGTGCAGAGGCAGGGGAGGGCTGTGCTTCTTGGGGGATGCTCACCCCAGTGTGGAGAGACCCCCTGGTCCCCACAGCAGCATGTCCCCAGGAGAGGCACAGTGACAGCAGGCAGCCATGAAACTGCAAGCATGGACCTTGCTTCCAGGAGAAATTGGAGATGCTCCAGCTGAGCCTCCTTGCAAACCAAAAAGTAGAACCCACCATCTGAACCAGGCTTTCCCACAGCCACTGCACACGCTCTGCACAGTCATTCACAAACCACAAGCCCTGCACTTGGAGACGGAACATCCTCATCTCTTAATTAATGGGAAGCACTCAGACATCGTGAAGAAAGATAAATGTTCCTAGGGCCCTTCAAGCATATCCACCCGGTGCACAAAAAAAGGCTTTCAAACACTTATTTGCTGAATCATTAAATCCCACAGGACTGAGCAAGCTAAAGTACACAGTCTTGCAACAAGTCTTTAGATAACCAACAAGAGTCATTAGTGCTTAAATTAAGATAATCCTCTTATTTGCAAAGTTGCATTTATCACTTTTAAAGTGACAGGGTGTCCTTTAAACCTGCCCAGGAACACACCTGCTCCTTGACTAAATTATGTAAAAGCATACTGGCCACAAAAGCAGCCCTGAGGTGAGTGGGGGTGAGGTGCACTTCCAACTGAGTGATGTGATTACGTTCATCTGTTCCCTGAGTCCAGTGCTTGAATGGGGTCATTAAATTGTGGCCTGCAGAACAAGGCACTGCCAAAGGTCAACACTCAGGCTCTCCTACCTCAACAGAGCAGCACTTGTCACATTTGCAGGGATCTTGCCAGGCCAGTATGCCAGTGCTGGAACGCGATGTCCCCCTTCCCAAGTGGTTTGCTTTGCTGAGCTCCCACCTGTAAGAGAGAGAGCATGTGTTCGGTGTCCTGCTGCAAAGGAGCTTTTCATTAACAGGGAGAAAGAACAATATTATGATCCAAGCATTTCTGAAACAAAGGCACTATTCAGAGCTCCAGAGACGCAATACATTAGTCTATAAACAAAGGAGGGAGATTTCATTAGAAAGCCAATGCTGGGTCAGAAAAAAACATAGGGATTTTTTTAAATGGGTGGGGCAAGGGTTAGTTGCATTTCCCATGTTAAGCCTTTTTAATAAAAATGTTGGCGCTGGGCTGGTACCTTTCATTTCTCCTCTACACTGATGCTGTGTTGCTTTCAAAGCCAGGTTGCTGGAGTTACTCTGTTTCCACGAACCTTTGATGTTGTGTAAGAAGAACACACACAGGAAATATTTTAATTGATTTTGAACAGCTCACTGTAAATGCAAATTCTGTTTTGTTCCAAGTTGAGGCCTTCAGGGCTGGCTCTGGGTATGTGTGTACATGTGCATGTAGATATGATACCAGCTGGAAACAACTTTGAGTACATGAAAACTGTTGCCTCCCAACTGCTGAAGCTTTGATAACATCACAAACCTGCTGGGACTGCTTCCTTAAGAAAGAAAAGCTGATACTACCAGGCACTCCCCTGGTGCCACTGTAACTTGATTAGCCTCTAATTCATTTCCTAAGAAACCTAGGAGAATTGCTCCCCTATCTAGAAGGGAAGAGTGAGTCAGTGCTTACAACACAGGGATCTGTGAAAGCCCATTTCAGTTCCCTGGGTCACCCAAGGCAACTCACCCAGGCTCTCTGCTTCAGCTCCCAAGCTACAGAATGGCCTGGTGCAAAATGCAGATATTTGTGATTGTGTGAGGTGCTCATCCAACATAACAGGGGCCAAAGGTACCATGGGGGGAAGGGAGGAGGAGAAACACAGATCATTTGCAGAGGCACAAAACAATCCAAAGAAACTTCCCAGCTAAGATGTATCCTGTTGCTTGCCCAGCTTTTGGGCATGCACACAGCAACACGCTAGTCCAGCACATTTTCCTGGACAAAGGCAAAGTAGAGATGCACAAAAAGGGCCTGTGCTCCAAGACAAATTCACCCTGCTACAGCCTTCTTGAGGGTTGAGGACATTGGGAACCTTGCAGAAGCCATGGTGCCCGGGCAACACCAGAGGTCATTTTTCACCACTTCGGGATGATCCCAAGAAACTCGCCGTTCCCAGTGGAGATCACCCTCCCAGAAGTATGCTGCGCATGGTGCTGGACAGCGACTCAGACAAAGAGTCTACTCCCAGCATTGTTGACCTGCTGTGCGACCTCTGGCATGCCACTTCCCTTCGCTGTTTCCTCTTCCATGCTTTGTCTGTCTCTGTTTTTCCATCTTTTATGAAGTGTCTGTACAGTGGCTGGTACAGCGGAGGCCCAAGCTCAGTAGGAACCTCTAACAATTATTGTAATTTTATACACACACACACACACACATATAAATGCACACATATATCAAATACTAATAGCTGTACCCTATTTGATTCTAGTTTGGCTCCATCTACATTGTAAAAGCACCTTGACTACTTTTAGACACCATAAGAAATAGAACACCAAGGCCAATAATTATTGCAAAGTCACATCAACATGCAGGCATAGATTATAGTAAGCAACGCTCCTGGTACATTTTGCATTTATTCTCCACAGTCCAACCAAAACAAGGCCCTGCTGGCACTAAGTTTATAGCTGGGTTAACCTAGGCCCAGAGAGCCAGCAAGTTGTGTGCAAGCCCACGATGAGTCAGGAGCAGGGAACCAAACCAACGCTCACCTACTGTGCAAAGTGTGGTCTCTTTGGATACGCAGGAAGCTGCAGCTGCCTTCTGCCAGGCTAACTGTGACTTGCTCAGAAGTAAACACTGCTGAAACACATGAAAAATAAGCCAGGGATTTCTCTCCCTAAAGATTATGCAATTGCATTATTGCATCAAATGACAAAAGTCAAGGATTCCTGGGAAAACCTGGCAGCGGCGGGAACTGAACATTCGATTTCAAGGAAGAAAACAGCACATCCATCCCTTTGCTAGGCTAAACACGGGGTTTTTCCAGCTGGAAGACAGCCCACTCTACACCCTGGGTGTTCACTCAAAACTAAGCATGAAGGACACTGGAAAACAACTCTGAGAGTCCCTTAGGGGGAAGAAAATGACTCCAGTGCTGTCTGTCCTACCTGGTACTACATGAACCCTTCAGGTATCAGCTACAAAGCCACAGACGTGTCAATGCTCCACGGCAGCACCAGCTGTTCCAGAGACACAGATGCAATAGACACCATGCGCGGAGAGCCTGAGAGTGGGAGAGCCCACAGGTTTGCTGCTCTCCTTCAGCAAGAGCCTAACCTGCAACCCGTCAGAGTCAGCTGAAATCCGGATCAGGATCTAGAGGCAAAGCCAGGGAGTGTGAAATAATCCAGGCTATTTTGTCACCTAGTCTCCTCCAGGCCTCACTCAAGCCTCCTTACCAATAAGGACAATACTCACAAAACTGACAAGCCCTTCAACTAAGAAACAGCCTTCCAAACAGACTCCAGGATAGCCCTAAATCCAGGTCTTTGCTCCTGTTGTTCATTTTGTGTCAAGGGCTCAGATACTACAATAGAGGAGGGAAAGAAAGAGAGTCTGCTGGACTGACTGCAGTAGAGGTCAGTGTCCAAAGGGGGGAAACATTATATAATAAAAATATATGTATTACAGTAAAAAGAATACATGTTTTTCCCTTTGAAATGCATGCACATATTCCTATGTTTTGCATCAAGTTTAAAGAGGACCCTCTTGAGGGACATTAAAAACCCGTTGCTCCTACCGAGGTTTATAGACACCTCTAGAAACCTAAACATCAAATGTATTTCCTTACCATATTTCCTTCCCTGATGCTTACAGCCTGGTTAGTTATTGCAGGGGTGTTTACAAGCAGTAGCCTGTTGGCATTGGCTTGCTATTGTAGGGTTACTTGTAGATACTGAACTGCTTGTACCAATTTGTTAACAGAGTTGCTCAAAAGCTGGCCATGGTTTTGCCAAGATTTGTTGTTTACTAGGTAACAAGAGCATCAAAATCCCACTTTCCTTATTGAAGGATGAGGGGTGGAGAATGATTTTTTAAAGAACCAAAATACTCCAAACCAAAACTGCATGGGTTTTACAGAGACACCAGGAAGTGGAGAGCAGATTATTTGGCCCACCAGCCTCAGGACAGTCTTTTCTCAGCATTCCTAAATTAATCTCTTACAGGCCTTTACTATATTTGGAAGGTGTCTGAAAGCAGATGAGGAAAGAGATGCTGTCTTTACTCAACTCAACCTGCTCTTCCCTCTCTGGCCTAGAGCAAATGGGGAAACATGACCCATCACACACACGGAGTGTGAAAGACAAGCAGAAGTGGAAAAAGTCTGATTCATGCACGCTTCTGGCTGCTTGCACTTAAATAACCAAACCCACTGCGCAGATGGCATGGCCAGAAAAAGCAAAAAAGCCCCACACAGACTTTGATTTGAGGTCTCCCAACATATCTTTAAAGCCCTTAAATTTACCAAAGTCTTTCAAGGCTCTCTGATTCTCACGGGAAGACTTGGAGCTCACAACCATGAGGACAGTAAACCCAAGTTACTCTGAGCAGAGTCATAAAAGAGACCTTATTTATAGATCTTGGAGCATCCTCTTGTCTGTCAGGGCCCAGCTGACGTATGAGCACTATCCAGCCCAAGCCTAAGCCCCCAGCCCCTGCAGTCATGCAAGATCAGATTCTTGGTTTTCAGTTACACGCACGGGAAAAGCCTGAAAACATGAGTTGAGTGCCCAAATCTGCACACCCCCGACACTACCTCTAAGAGGTACAAGCAGTTCTGTGCGAGTGAGGCCACAACCTGGGAGAAGCCCCTGCAGGAGATGTCTACAGACTATTTTAATGCAGCCCCAGAGTGTTTTTAGGAAAATACCTGCCATTTAACAGGCTCTGGTCTCCCCTAAAGGCAAGGAAACAGATGTGTTTGGAGGCCTGGGGGTAAATCATTTGTGGTAAGAAGTGTGTAGCTCTGAACACTTATCCCAGCATTTATGCCATGGCAGGATACCTCCCTTCCCTGCTCTCAGTATGTTGTGTAAAATGGCCACAAAGGCAGGAGCCATGTGATCTGCAGCGGCCCTCACCTCGCTGGCGCTGCCACGTGCCGATGAATGGGCCGACACTCCCTGCAAGCTCGCACTTCTGCGCCCACGGACCGTTATCTCCTGGGAAAGAAAAATGAACAACCCCATGAGAAACAGACAGGCAGCGACTGAAACCTGAGAAACAGGTCTGATCTCAAAGACCACGGAAAAGGCCAGTCTCTAACCCCTGGCATCTATCTGGACCAGCTCTGCCAAGACCTACTCCGTATTTTCACCCAAATTGGACCCAGACTCACAAGCTTTTACTGAGTAGATTGTCTGGTGGTCTCCTCCCAGTCCCAGGGTGCAGAAGAATTTACTGAAGTTTGTGGAAGAAAGGGAGGGTTTCTGGGCCTGCTCTTTGGGAGCCTCACACATCCCAGACAAACTCATGCCCTTCTCCTCTCTATCGCTCAAAGAGATCTTCTTTCATCAGATGCTCTGGCCGGCAGAGTTGGGGGGCAGACCAAGTTTTCAACCCTGGAGGTTGTTTTCAAATGACAAGGCCATGGAGGGAGCTGAACTTTCACATCAGCAAATGAAGCTCAGGCAGGGAGCGGAAGGCAAAAACAGATCAGCCGTTTGGCTTTAATGAGCCGCAGAGCAGTTCCTGTCCTCTGGACGACAGCAGAGCAAGATGTCCTCATTAGGGAGGCTTCTCAGCAGGAGTGGCATTGGGCTTTTTAATTAATGAGGATTTTGAGGTTTCATTTGTGATGCCCAGGTTCATTCACCCTGCCTACTGCTGGCAACTTGGTGCATTGGGGTGGAAAACAAGCTGCCTGATGGAAGGGATGCTTTCAGGACCTGACAGAAGAGAATGGCCCTGCTGTTCTGTCCCAAGGATGATGTGTGAAGGGAATTCAAGCCTCTCTGAGACCATGTCAAGGTGGGTGAATCTGATCCATCTAGTCATCGGCCATGCTCTCAAATATCAGTGTGCCCAGTGGATGGGGACCCCCGGCAGGACCTTCTCCAAAAAGAGTATGTGAAGGAAAATGTGTGATGACCCTGGCCTCTATTTCATCCCTTGCAATATGCGCACACACACACACACACACAAACACACAAGCAAACCCCTAATTTCAGGATGAGGCCAGGGGGAGAAAGAGCTTTCCAAGGTTTAGCTTGGGAGCCAGTTCTTCAGGGACATCAGTCTCAGTGGATTCTCATGCATCTAACCAAAGGCCAGAAATATTCAGCCTTTTCAACAATTTGGCTTCGGGCGTATAGCCAACCAGGCCTCTTTGGTCCATATTGTGCTTACTGCCCTTCTTGCCCTTGTGCATTGCTCCCTGGCTGCCTGCAACCCCATTCAGCCGGGTGGGCTTTATTGCCGATCCCATGCTGTCTCTCTCATACCGGGGATGACACAAGATTGTCCTGTCCCGGTTCTCCTTGTCAATGTCTTTGCCAGGTCTACAGAAGAGTAAGGCAAAGGGACTTACTAAAGATTGTGAGGGGACCAAAAGGGCTATTTGGAGCAGAGGAACCACTGCTTTTAGGGATAAAGTACCTAAGTGGCACCTAATTGTTCACATCCTCTGTACACGGTGAATCTCATCCTCCAAGACACTACTTCTCTGTTTCCCATAGAAACAGTCTGAAAGCTATAGGCCAACCCTTGCCCCTCAAATATATTGATCAGCTCTGGGGGTGAAGCCTCTTCACCACTGCTGAAACCCCGGAGCAAATCACCATATCTGAGGGCAGGGCCTGGCCTCTTGCTTTAGCACTGTTTCTACAGGAAACAGAAGTAGCATCCTGAGGATGAGATTCACCCTTTGCAGAGGATGTGACTGAGGCCACCAAGACCAATTAGGTGTCACTTAGGTACTTGATGCCTAAAAGCAGTGCCCAAACTTTCCTGCTGGTGACCCCACTTCTATTTCTAGGCCCCACCCTTCAATTGAGTGTCCTTTGGGCTCACAGTCCCCCTCAGGGTTATGACCCCTAATCTAGGAAATGCTGCCCCAAAGCAATCATGCTTCCAAAAAAAAAAAAAAAAAGGCAGTTGCCATCTGACTGGTCCTTTGTTTTGCCTGGGTGAATATCTGTTATCTAGCTGATCTGCCATCAGAGCAAGTGGTTTTATGGCTTCACCTGTGAACCAAAGAAGCGTGTTTTCCTCCTGGGAGCTGTCGATTTCCTCCTTCAGCCGTCCCACTAAAGCATCCATCTCCCTCAAGCTGGCTCCATATATGTCCTTGAGTGACGAGCAGGATGGTGGCTGAGCAATTACCAGGGGCACGTGCATATGAGCAAGAGCCAGGTACAGGAAGAACGGGCGTTCGCTTTTCCTAAATGGGAAAGACAGGAAGTGTGTTTAGCCTGCTGGTTTGGAGGAAGGGGGATTGCATAGGCAGACACAGGAAAACACGACTGGACATTCCTGCCTACCATGTGGGAAATCTGGGGTCAAGTCCCAGCTGAGGTGACTTAGGCTGAGTGAGCTAACAAGAAGCAAATCTTCTTAGAAAAAACCCAGACATAACAGGGCTTACAGAAACGTGGTGGGATT